GGGAGGCGTATCCGAATATTTCACCAAATGGTGCACCTTTTTAAAAAAAAATCATTATGATTTACTTAGAAGCTATTTGAAAAGTCCTAATATAGGTGTCATTTGAGTTCGAAGAAGTTGACATTTCAAGAATATGAGCCTAAGGTTTGTGACTTTCACTTGACACCACTGATCTATTATCCTTGAGTTGGACCATAATTACATAATAATTTGTGAATCGGGTTGAAATGTGAAGGAGGAGACTTATTTTGTTAAGAAAATCACAGCCAGGGTACCCTTTTCATTTAGCCTAAAAGGGAGGAGTAGTATTGTGCATATGAATTAGTTTTAGAGACTTAAACGATAGGGTTGGCCATCTCCTTCATCTAGAGAAGAAAAATAGTAAGTTTTGATTCTTAAGGGTAAATCGAAGTCTTGAAGTTTATAGTGATGAAGATGATGATTATCAATCCAGTTAATGGATTAAGCTTGTTAATGATGTTAATTAGGATGGAATTATGGGTTTACCCTTTGGATCCATCCTAAGTCATTATAAATCGATTTGTGGGTGTTAAAGTCATGTTGGATGAGTTTATTGGACATTTTTAATGTTTTTGTACGAAATGGTGTTGATTGACCAATTACATGATCGAGTGATTATCCTTTTGTAGTTTGCACGGGTAACTTATTGTCCTGTACACAACTCACAAATTTCTCTTTGTTGATATGGTGGTCATATGTTTACTTCCCACTTCCTTATGAACATGTTATGAGTGTCTATGAGACAACAAAGATTAAATAAGCTTAATGAATCCAATTACCAAATTTGAGGTTAATTATTTTTAGTAATTTGGCTTAATTGTTCATTTGTATGTGTTCTATGATCCTTCTTACACTTACAGGAGCTTATTTGAAGATAACATTTACACTGAGGTGAGTACATTACCATATTAACACATGTACTTAATATGACAAGGCACTTTCCAATTTTCCTTTGATTGAAATACTATATGTATACCTTGAGGTCTTTTAAGTATTTATAAATGTTTCCAAGACAATGAGTTTTCTCATAATCATGATCATGAGCGTCCATATATATTGGGTGGGAATTGAGACTATTGTGTTCGAACACTTTTGAAGATTTGGATATTCAACCTATGAAGTTTTAAAGTTGTTAATGACATTCTAGAATGCCTTCACATGTTTTGAGCCTTGCAAACCATTCACATTGTTCATGTGTAATGGTTCACATGTAACCTAGTATTTTTGAAGTTTTTATTATAGGAATCTATATGTATAATGTGTTACGTGTTATTTCATATGTATGCTTTGTTTAACCATCATATCCTTGGTACACTTACCTTAGGAGTCCTTTAAGAGCAAGGCACAAAAACTTTGTTATATATATATATATATATATATATATATATATATATATATATATATATTGTTGGATGTTTTGATAACTAACACATAAACGCGGAAGCATAAGGATCTTAAGCTCGAATCTGATTACAAGAAAGCTTAATCAAGAAAGAACGATTAGATACCTGATTTCATTATAATCTTCAAATCTGAAGAACTAGGTTGGGTTTTCCAGTTGATCTCAAGAGCTCTCTCTAAAATCCCTCAGCAAACCTTAAACGAATTTACATGTGTATTTTCGAGAGCATCGATCTCCTCCTCATCACATGTATTTATAGATGGAGATAAACCCTAATGTGAGAGATGGAAGGAATCTTGAGGATCTTGAGTCAAGGCGGGAACTCAACCCACAAGGTAAGTAAATATTCTATAAATCGGTCCATCAACAATTTATACTCTTACCATAGTAACTGGATTTAATGATAACATTACATATATATGATGTGGTCCCATAATTATCTAACAATCTCCCACTGGACCACGAATATATAAATGTACATATAACTGTATAAGCGCTTTAATGAATGTTATCATAATATTGGTACCCTTAAACAATCTCGTCCACTAATCATAATAGTATAGGATCAAAGCGGTCTTCGTTACAATTTACGTAACTAAACCTATCAATGGTCACATATACATATATAACTAACGACATAGATTAAACGTGATGTGTGGTTTTGAAATCTAAATAGATTTCCAACGAGTTCCTTTTTAGATTGAAGTGAGATCAAACTTCAAATAAGTGCAACTAATAATGGAGTTAACCGAATTCTTAATTTTGTACAGAAAAACATACTTGTTCTTAAACAAGACATAGAGCACCATAAAAACTCCCACTAAAACCAAATATCACACCAACGTGTGTAGTATGCTCATGAAAGACCTAGGGAGGTAATCCCTTTATGAGCGGATCCGCTTTCATGGATTTTGTTCATATGTGCTATATATATTTCCATTTTGCACTATTGTGTGAACAGAAGAAAACTTTATGTCAATATGATTGACTTAATAGAACTTCTGTTGTTGGAATATAACATTGCTGACTTATTATCAAAACTTTAGTGGTCTTTCAATACCAATAATGTGTAGCCTCGTGACAAATTTCCGCAACCATATTCCATGCTACAAATTATTCTGCCATTATGGAAAAAGCTACCGAAGTCTATTCCATGAAATGACTCATCATGCTAATATATATAAAAGTATCCTGATATGGATCAGTAACTATTTTGGCATCTAATAAAATCATATTCTTAACAAAAATGATCTCTAAAACATATGAATTTCTTATAGTTGAGCATATAGCCTTTTGTTATATATAGATATCTCAAAATCCATTTGGTTGCTTTCTTATGATCTAAACTTGAATTTTGTAGATATCTGCCCAAAACCAGAAAGATAAATTTACTCCCACTTAATCTGTGATACACAAAATCATCTACTGTATTTACCTCAAAACCAAAAGAGATAATAAGTTGATGAAAAATGTGGTACCACACATAGGATATCCAAAGTTGAGGTTGTTGAGTTTGTGTATTCTGAATAGGAGATTGAATAACATTGTCGATTACTGATTCATAATCTGCATACTATCGAAAGCAATAATAGGAATCAAGATTGATTTTTCCTTAAGGACAATGTTTTAACCTTGTTTCTCCCCCAAACTCAACATCCTCAAAGAATGTTGCTCTATCCAAAATGCAAGGTCAATATCCATGCAATTGAGAACTAACATAATGCCCTCATTTTATTCCTTAAAATTAATTTCATTGAGTACATAAATCATAAATGTGATCAATGTTAGCAGATATAATACCATAATTCAAACATAAGCAAATCTATTTTTTATGCTCATTAATCCATAAATTGTAATCAATAAACTCAATTTATGACATCTTTACAAGGTATCAACACAACATTAATATCAAGTCTTTGGACAGTAATACTAACTTGCAAGAGATATCCTTGTTTTAGAGATAAACATTGATAATAAATCATGTCAATTAACAAACCCCTATTTGGATTGACTTATTAATCACATGGAACAAAAAAAAATCACCACATGTTTATCACCACATATATGTTTATTTGGCCAAATATCAGTCTACCTTTGGGTCGGCTAATATCCGCATTAATAAACACATAAACTATAAATTTTGATAATAAGAATTGACAATATATCATATCAATTAATAAGCCCCTCTTTGGATTTACTTATTAATGACATGTAACCTAAAAATTGTCGCATATTTATCATTAAACATGTATTTATCCGGCCAAATATTAACCTACCTTTGGGTCGATTAATATCCGTATTAATAAACACATAAACCATAATATTTAGATTCTTAGAAAATTAATATTTACAAAAAAAAGGGGATCACTTTGGCCATATATAATGTCACTAAATTTTCCTAAGAAAATAAATAACAGCATAACCGAATTTATTGATAACCATAAATAAAAGACAACCATACATGAAATGGTGTCAAATTGATATATAACAAATGATGTTATCTAATAATTTCCTTAAATGCCCCACAATATTTTAGGCCAATTAGATTATGAAGATAATGACGTCAACATAGTTGTGTTCAGAAAAGACAACAACAATAAAATAAAATCAAAATCTATCATAATAATATTCTCATATAATCGTATTTGCTAAAAATTGATCATTATGAAATCCTCTTGATATATACAATGATAAAAAAAATAAAAATAAAAAAAGGATTCCATACCTTATTCAAATTTCACAACTAAATAAAATAATTATACTTGTACATACAGTGTCATTATTGCTTAAAAAAATAAACCTTCACTATGTTCCGACAAATGTACAAACACAACTTTTAAGTACAAAATAAAAGATACGCCTATTAAATTCTTATAATGAAATTATTAAATGATGTCAGAAAATACAGACCTTACACAATTAAAATGGAACTTATATGACTTATTATATCCATATTTAATTCCTAAAATAAAAGGAATGAAGCCATACTATTAATTATTGAAAGTGTCAAAAATCATGAGGGTTTGCAAAAGTATGATAAGCATTTTTGTTAATAAATAAAAAAAATTATAATAATACTAAAAACCAGAGGCATATATGACATATATGTCATGCATGCATACGAAAAACCCAAACAAAGAAAATATACGGTTGACATAGCCCGTTTCTCTTGTTGACGATCAATTTACACGGATATACTTAATTTAAAATATTCACACATATCCTAATCAACCTAAACTTAAATTTCTTATAATAGATTCGAGTAGGCTCTGATACCAATTGTTGGATGTTTTGATAACTAACACATAAACGCGGAAGCATAAGGATCTTAAGCTCGAATCTGATTACAAGAAAACTTAATAAAGAAAGAACGATTAGATACATGATTTCATTATAATCTTCGAATCTGAAGAACTAGGTTGGGTTTTCCAGTTGATCTCAAGAGCTCTCTCAAAAATCCCTCAGCAAACCTTAAACGAATTTACATGTGTATTTTCGTGTGTGTCGATCTGCTCCTCATCACATGTATTTATAGATGGAGATAAACCCTAATGTGAGAGATGGAAGGGATCTTGAGTCAAATCGGGAACTCAACCTACAAGGTAAGTAAATATTCTATAAATCGGTCCATCAACAATTTATACTATTACCATAATAACTGGATTTAATGATAACATTACATATATATGATGTGGTACCATAATTATCTAATATATATATATATATATATATATATATATATATATATATATATATATATATATATATATTGTTCTTATGTATATTGTCTAATATTTCTAACCTTGTTATTACTCATTAGGCTTGCTAAGCCTAACATACTATTTTGATATGTGCTCAAGTTAATAGCGGTCTTATAATGACATTTTGGAGATCGAGGAGCTTATGAGGATTTTTGTAAAACTTTTTGAAACATTTGAAATAAGTAGACTTTGTTTTAATACTTAGTCTCGTGTATTGGTTGTGATGCCATCATGTACTCTTTTTAACAACTTGTGTTTGATAAAAAAAACTTTAAAGCTTGAGACTTTTCCACAAAAAATATGACTTGAATGGGTTTTAGAACTATTTAAATGATGTTTTGAAAATCCTATTTTACCATATCATTTTATTTTAATTTACTTTTATTACAACATTGTACTTTTGAAATATCTTAAGATATTGTACATTTAAAATTCTACTGATTGTAACAGGGTAATTATTTTAAAACATAAATGGCTACCTATTAGTATAACTAAGTTGATTTTTTAAATCATAGTACCCAAATTATAAATAATTTGAAAATACAATGTTGTTAAAATAAAAAATGAATATTATGAAGAAAAAAAAAACTTTTTAGAAAGTACAATACTATTTTCTGCATTTAGCACTTTTGTATGTGTGTGCGATAGATATGAACACGTCAAAACCCTATTTAGAGTAGTACTGAATGACAATTTTTTCAAGTATACCACCCGGCAACCAACAGTGCTACTCCTTACGATGAGTACCACTAGATTAAATTCGTTGATCAACTAATATTAAAGATTTTTATTTTAAAAAAAATGCTATATAAAAAGAAATTCAAAATACAAGATGACAAGATAAAAGTGGTGTTTCATATTACAGTGCCACTTGGAATGACAGCATCTTTCATGACCGTTACAATTCCGCTCTTAATGAAGTAACCGTTCGTTTCCCTCGCAGCTTCTTCAACATTGTTTTTGTTTATAATCTGCAAGTACAACCATGCATCATCCATTGTTTATATATAGTATACTTCTATTAAATTTGTTTATTAGAGCATCCTACTTTTATTTCTTCCTATTACAATTTTGCCTTAATAAGAAAAAATTTAGACTACAATCTTGTAGTAGAATGCTATAACACACAAAGAAATGAAAGTATGTTACCATTTCTTGCATTTAGTCCTTTATATAAATATACGAAGCAATCAAGTGATTATTTACCTTGACATTATCCCCGATACGAGCATTTTTGTCTATTATTGCTTTCTTGATGTGTGTATTCTTTCCAATGCCTATAGGAACCCCACCCTTTGCTTCCAACACTCTTTTGTCTGCGTCAGTCTGCTCCCAATAAACATAATTCATCATCCATTCATAAAAAGTTGTAAAGGGAAAAATCCACATGATTTGAACAGACTGTACTGTGTTTGACTGAGACCGCATTTGACAAAAAAAAATGCAAGTTTTTCTCCCACCCAAAGATGTGGGAAAGGGACTCGCCCTCAATCTCCCATCTATGAAAAAGACATGAATGCCCTCCTCATAAAAAATAGGTGTAATACCTCATAGTAGTCGGCTCCCATGAGCAAAGTATCTTCAATAATGACACCCTCAGAGATACATGACCGAAGACCAACCACCGAATGATGAATCTTACATTTCTATAAGAAAAAAAAAACAATTATGATTCACAAAAGGGTTTACAAATGTTTCACAAAGATCCATTTGCACATACTTACCTTGATTACACAACCTTCACCAATGACACTATTTGTAACATCAGCATCCAACATTTTTGAAGGTGGTAGATACCGTGGTTGTGTATATATTGGAGCAGTCCGATCATAAAAACTGCATATAAAGAAACAGCATATTGAAAATTGAACACGAATTATATTATAAAAAAAAAGGGTACCTGAAGTCTGGAACTGGCTTCTTGGTGATTCCAAGATTTGCATGATAGAAAGCTTCAATGGTACCAATATCTTCCCAATAACCATCATACAGGTATGCTTGTACCTAACAGGATACAATTCATATCGGTTTTTAAAAAAATTACAAAAACAGTGATTATGTAAAAAAAAAAAAAAAAATAGAAACAAAACATACCCTCAACCCAATGGAAGTTGCACCTGGAATTACTTCACTTCCAAAGTCATTTGCTCCTGGAAACTTCTCTCTAAGTAAATCCAACATAACATTTTTACTGAAAACATATATGCCCATACTTGCAATAAAAGGCATTTCTTTTGCTCTTTTATCATCGAGCCCTAAAATGGTAGTATCAACCTATCAATTCACATTAATAACATTAGAGGGAAGAAGATATTGGGTAAAGTTTTTGACTTTTTTGTCGTATTCATACCTTCATTGCTTGTAATTTGTCTCCCTTTGGCTTTTCTGAAAACTCAATTATCCTTCCTTCTTCATCAATCTTCATTAGACCAAATGCAGTGGCACGTTTTTCATCCATTGGTAGAGCAGCGACAGTTATATCAGCATCAGTTTCCCTGTGTGCTTGAATAAACTTTTCATAATCCATTCTGTACAAATGATCACCAGCAAGAACCAGATATTCCAACACATTTTGTTCTTCAAGCAGCCATAGATACTGCCTTACAGCATCAGCTGTACCCTACTCACTCACAGATTAACAGAAATTAGGCATTGCTGAATGCACGAAAGTGTTTTATCTGCAGAGCACTTAATGAAAAAAGAAAAGAAACAGCCACTTAGGTTCAACTCACCTGGAACCAATCAGGATTCTCAGGACTTTGTTGTGCTGCAAGGACTTCAACAAAACCTTCATTCTTATAGCCACCCATGTTGGTTGCATATGCCCTAGAGAGATGACGATTGAGAGATGCAGAATTGAATTGGGTGAGAACATATATCTTTGATATGTTGCTGTTTAAGCAATTGCTGACAGGTATATCGATGAGTCTGTAATTAGCTCCTAAAGGAACAGCAGGTTTGGCTCTTTTCTTTGTAAGAGGATATAGTCGAGTCCCTGCTCCACCACCAAGAATGATTCCAAGCACACTCTACAACCATGGTAACCACGATCATGATTAGTAAACTGAATTAAGCAACTAGGTTCATGACTTCATGTAATGCACATTAATTATTGGTATCAAATCAAATGGAACCAGTATGGAAAATAAATAGAAGAATCAGCTTTCCCTATCAATCATTAGATCATGAAATACATGAAGAGCACTCACGCATCCTTCAATCCTAAAAAAAGAATTCGCTGTGGCATTTTATCAAACACCTACTTGGTAAATGAATCAAACTTAAACTTTAAAAGGAATGAAGTGTAAATTGGAATAACAAAAGTTTCCAATTATGTGTGTTGGGAGAGAGAGGTGGAGTGCGCATACGTTGCTGGCATCAGGGTCGAGACAGGTCTGAGAATAACTAGAGTCAGAAACAGCTTTGGGGCAAAAAACATGCGGGCTTGAGCTACTGCTGCTTCTTCTTCTTCCTCCATCAGTAATGTTGGAATGCGACATTTTCCGGTGAGCGAATGGAACAGAGGAATTGGTTTTCTTTATAAGAATGTCCCGCTCGTGGCAGCCGCCGAAGATCTGAGAAGCACTAAAAGAAGCAAGTCGGGTGGCAGCGGTCTTGTTACTCGTTACTCCTCCTCCTCCTATACCCGATTGGATCATCATCACGATCGTCCTTGTTGACTACGAGTGTAAGAAATTGTTGGGATTAAGAGGGAGTTAACAGGGCATGTGATCAGTAATGGGGTGGGTATACAAATTTGGGGAGGAGATTGGAAAAAGAAATCTATTGATTGGTGTGTGGATGTGGAGTGTGTGTACATAACAATAACATCCTCATGCACACAACGAGACAAGCCAATGTTACATACAAGATTACAACTTCAAGCATGAGATATGCCTAATTGCATTTTGGTCCCTAAGGTTGTCACTGAAAAAGCAAGCTTCTTTAGTTCTCTAACCCAACACCAAAAATCATGTTTTATTAATTTGGAGTAAAGTCATTCCAGTTCCTTATCAAATTTTACACTGTTTTGACAACGTCTATTTTTACATTATTTTGATGTCAGTGAGAAATTATATATAAAATATTATGCTATATTATTCATTTACATTAAATTTGATGTTAATCTTTCTTTTATGTGTTTTGGTTCTTCATCTTTGAATATTATGGATATGTTTGGAAAAAATAGTTGCGGTACCTAAGTGGTGTAGCTAGACTTGTGGTAGAACTTTGTCGGATAGGATGATTAGTGACACAAATTACTGAAAAATTGAGGGAAGCTTAAGCATCATTGAGGTGGTATGGAATGTTTTTAGGAGGTTTACATCAACGATTATTAGGAGGGTAGACTCAATGGTGATTGAGGTCAAGAGGAAGAGACGGCGTCCACGAAGAAAATGGGAGGATGGGCGAGGTTATACATGGAGGAGTTCGGTTTTTCCAAACACATTACCTCAAATAGGAGGGTATGGATGCTACACATCATGGTTGATGGGTTATCGTCTTGTATGTTTTGTTTGTTGATCTGTATTGTTGATATATGTGACATCCCCATTTTTACGGCCAGAAAAGACCGATTTTGTTTAGGGATAATGTCATAAAAAGCCTTAAGTTTGGCAGAAAATGTCGGTTTTACCCTTCGACAGATTTTTGGTTTGTTTATGCCGCAAGCTTGTCATTTTTTGTCGGTTTTGTCCTTTTTACCTGTAATAGCAGGTTTCCAGTTACCATAAATTATTTTTTTGCAAAAAAACTCTTAAGTTTACAAATATTTTGCAAAAAAACCCTTAAGATTATCAAAGTATAAAATATAAATATATATTCAAAATTTGATAAAACAAGATGGTTTTTAAAAATTTAATTGTCAAAAGTTTATATCAAACTAATATAAGTTTTACTGTATTTATATTATGAAACCAAAACTGAAACATATTTTTAGCTTTACGTACGGTAAATTTTATATTGGTTCGATATAAACTTTTTATATTTAAATTTTAAAAAAGTTACCTAGTTTTTATCAAAATTTGAATATATTCCTTAATTAATACTTAAAATTTTCAAAACAAAATTAAAAAACGTCTGTTAGCTAATAATTAACTATGCTAAAATAGTTAACCATATGAATAATATAACATTAAATAAATTCAATTAATTGTTTAAAAGGAAAATAAAAATATTTTATATGTTTAAAAGGTTTCTATTTCAAAAATAATGATGTATCAAATTTTTCATAAAAAATTAATATATTTATATAATAAATTAGACAAATATATTTATATTTTATATGTTTAAAATGTTTATGTTTGTGTTTTAGAAATAATAACTTATACAACTATATTTATATTTGGAAAAAAATATGATAATATTATTATTTCTGAAATACGAAACTTTTAAACATATAAAATATTTTCATTCTCCTTTAAAAAAATGTTGCATGAAAATAATGTCATCATATAGTGACTATGATCACCTCCAAAATTGTTTTACGAGCGGTGGATATATACAACGAATCTAAAAAATATGATACATTATTATTTCTGCAATACAAACCTTTTAAATATATAAATATTTTTAATTTCCTTTAATAAAATTAATTTAATTTAATTATCATATTATTCATATATTTAACTATTTTAGCGTAGTTAATTATTAGGTAAGAAAAGTTTAAGTATTAATTAAGGAATATATTCAAATTTTGATAAAACTAAATAACTTTTTTAAAAATTAAATATAAAATCTTTATATTGACCCAATATAAAATTTATCGTACGTAAAGCTAAAAATGCGTTTTAGTTTTTGTTTCATAATATAAGTCCAGTAAAACTTATATTAGTTTGATATAAACTTTTGACATTTAAATTTTTAAAAACTATTTAGTTTTATCAAATATTGAATATATATTTATATTTTATATGCTTATAATTTTAAGAGTTTTTTTGCAAAATATTTGGAAAGTTAAGGGTTTTTTCGCAAAAAATAATTCACGGTAACCTGGAAACCTGTTATTACAGGTAAAAATGGCAAAACCGACAAAAAAATGACAAGTTTGCGACATAAACGAACGAAAAATCTGTCGAAGGGTTAAACCGATATTTTCTGTCAAACTTAAGGCTTTTTATGTCATTATACCTTTTGTTTATGCTTAATAAATTAGAGTATCCTTTTAAAAAGATTTACTTTGCGAAATTTGTTTGTAACATCCCAAAATTTAAGACCAAAAATTTCGTTTTGATTAATTAAAAACCGCTTAATAAATCTTGCTCAATCATTTAATAACATTCTTAATAAAACAATTATCAGAGTTTTAAATCCCAAAGATCATCTAGTGCGGAAAACATGGTGTGATGCGTTGCGATCGCCCCGAGCTCCTTCCTTGGAAAAACGTTAATACCTGAAACAAATAACTGAAAACCGTAAGCACGAAGCTTAATGAGTTCCCCCAGATACCACATACCATACATATAAACTGATCCATACATGCCACACGTAACCATGAGCCATACATAACAAACATATCCATAATCAAGTAAGGTGCTATGTGCCAAACATAGTCTTGTTGTATTGCCACAGGCCGCACGTGGTCTTTCTTGTCAAGCCTGGGGGCCACTCCTTGGGTCTTACAGACAAGTGCCAAGGGCCACCCCCTGGTCTTCCATGCAAGCATCACAAAGACAACTATACATACTACTCTACTAGGCTACTCAGCATACAGTGTGCCAGGAGCCACATCCTAGTCTTTCATTCCTAATAGTATACAGTGTGCCAGGAGCCTCCTCCTGGTCTTTCATACATGTTGCCTAGGGCTAACCCCTGGGTCTTCCTACCATACATAATAACATACTGTGTGCCAGGAGCCTCCTCCTGGTCTTTCATGCATAATGCGTAGGGCTAACCCCCGGGTCTTCCTACCATACATAAACTAAATGGGCCGGCATTGTGGCCGTAGACCCATACAAACAGTGAGGAGACTCACCTCGTACTACCGACGCTGCTGATAACCATCTGGCTACTATCCAACAACTCTCCGAACTGCTGCTCCTCTAGCTCCCCGAGCTACCGATACCAATAATAGAAACACTTAGCCTAACTGTCCTCAAGAAGTCAACTAAGTCAACTTTGGTCAAAGTCCCTCTCAAGGTCAAGGTCCTGGTCAAAGTCAACCTTCCAGTTGACTCGACTCGTCGAGTTGTTCTGCCAACTCGCCGAGTCCATGCTCTTCAAATCCCAAAACAACCCCGACTCCACTCGTCGAGTCTACGAGAACTCGACGAGTTCTCCTTCATCTAACACTTCGGGACTATCTTCAACCGACTCGCCGAGTTCATCCTTGAACTCGTCGAGTTCATCATCATTGTATGAATATCTAGGCTATGACTCGCCGAGTTGTATGAACAACTCGTCGAGTTCATCTTCATAGCTAAGAAGATTGTCTTGGACTCGCCGAGTTCCTCTTCGAACTCGTCGAGTTCTATGATCTTCATGTCCATTACGGACCCAGTCTGGCTGAATCCTTCACTACTCCACCTACTGATCCGAATCATAACAGAAGGGTTTGGGTTTACGAACCGACTCGCCGAGTCCATGAACGGACTCGTCGAGTCCACCTTGTGACATCTCTATTCTATCGATTACAGTCCATTCCAACACTTCTAACTCATAGATCTGGACTCCTAATGCTAGCATTGCACGTAAAGTTGCTAACTTTACGTGCATGCAAGGTGCTATGAGGCTAGAACACTCAATCCAAGCTATAATGAAGGCCTAGGTCATGAAATGGGACCTTAGCTGGATAAAGTCGACAACTTTGAGCTTCTAAAGCTCAAGAGTGTCCAGATCTGTTGTCCAATCCAACCTCAAAGGCTTAATACTCGGATTCTACTTGGAAATGATCCAATTGTGACAAAAAGGCAAGCTAGAAAGGGGATCCATCAATTGAAAGCTCAAGGTTCAGACTTTTTACCTCCTAACAGTTTCCAAGTCGATATGGAGGCTGGATCTACTCTTCCTTCCTTGCTCCTTTCCCTCCAAGCTTCCAAGATGCACTCTAAAGGCCCTTAATCTTCTCAAAAGCTCAAACAATGGAGTTGGGTGGCTAGGGTTTTGGGTTCTGGACGAGAGAGGCTGTAAATGAACCCTAGGGAAGAGAATAAGATGCTTAAATAGGGTACCAAGTCCCGGAATTAGGGTTTCCAAACCCAGACCAGACTCGCCGAGTCCACTCGCCGACTCGCCGATTCGGTCACTTAATCTTTGACACGGAACCCGCTCCGACTCGTCGAGTTCTTCCTTGGACTCGACGAGTTGACCCCCTTTTGACTTAGGGTTTTCCTTCCTTTCTCAGCCTTTCTGATACTGGGTGTTACATTGTTCCAAAAACATGATAATAATATCATCAAGACATTTCCAAGAAATGTATTTTATTTATAAAACTCGGGATGTTATCGTCAATATAAGAAACATAAGAATAAATGAAGACTTACAACATTTCTTTACACTAATAGTCTACATCTCCTTGAATCTCTCAGCAGATACATATATCATCGTATATAATTTCTTGTGATACAATAAACTGAGTGGGTCAGGTTGGGAAACCTGGTAAGTACATAGGGTTTTCAACCCACAATAATATAGTTATTATATTTAATTATCAAACCATTAATCCCAATTACCCATCCCTGTTTTCTTATCTATTCTTCCCTAGGGTTATATCCTAAGGGTCATCACCTACATCGTATTGACTTATCATCTCCTATATCAAATGGGCACGAAGTCCATCGCTTCTAGTGTTTATCTAATAGGCACTAAGTTCATAGCTGCCAACGT